CGGCTTTATTGACACGTTGTTTTGCTATTGACCACAGCACGACCTGTAGTCCTTGAGAGGCCGCTATCGTCGATGCTATTGAACAATCAGTGGTATCTCAAAATTGGGATGATGGAAAAAGATCTGTACAGAGCATTACCGGGAAATAGGGGTAGCAAAATAAGTTTAGGAGTGAGCTAAGCTCTAAACTATTCCTCAAAGTTTTGTGAGTATGATGAAATACGTTTTAGGCCAGATTGGAAGTTGTGGACCTCTTTGTGGATTTTGGAGATGGTGTGTTACTCATGAAACTTCTTGAAATTATCTCTGGAGAAAAGCTTGGGAAACCCAATAGGTACCATCTTAAAAATTTTTATAACTGTGCATCTTTAATTTTCTCCTATTCAGAGGTCGTATGCGGGTGCAGAAAATCGAAAACCTCAACAAATCGCTGGATTTTCTTAAAAGGAAGAAGATCCAGGTAAATCTTAATCTTTGTCTTTTTCAGCAATGAGTCTGAAATATGCACTTCGTGCAGTTGTGCACGAAGTGCAGCCAAGCGTGCTATATTTTGGTCCCGGGTGTCAATCTATATTTGCATCTGAGCTGCTGCCTATGTTTGGACGCACGGCTGTCTCAAGCTAATCAGATCGGATATTACGGCGAGGGTTTATGCGGGTCATTGAAAAAGCTGTCCAAACTGGAATTTCGTGGATTTGATTCGAGAGGAAATCATTCACATAGTACCGAAAGCGGAAATTTATCTAAGATTATCAACTATTTTTTAGCTTGAAAACATCGGAGCTGAAGATATTCTGGATCGAAATGAACGTCTTATTCTTGGTCTCATCTGGACAATTATTCTTCGTTTCCAAATCGACACCATTGTTATTGAGGTGAGCAGATTTACTCATTGAATACTTCATAAATCTAGCATGCTTCTTCATTTTGTTTGATATTCTAATTTTTTCTGTTTATAATTTGTGCATTCATAGATTGTACTACTAATTTTGGGTTTTACCTGACTGCTAAGGTAAAGGAGTAACTAAGGATCTTTCTTTACAATAAATCAATTGTAATAGTGCTTAGAGGGCCTGATCCTTCAGCTATATATGTTCCTTGGTTTGTCATACTGAACACGTTATTGCGTCCCCTCATTACTAAACTTTTGTTGAGAAGTGTTCTATCTGGGCCTTACCTAAAACGATTCGAAACCTTTTCATTGAGCATTG